GCAAATTTAAATTTTCGCCAGTGCTGTGGCGCTGCAATCTTTGGCTATGTCTTGGGCTACTCAAATATTTTACGTTTTTGATACTAAATTAACTTCTGAAGTAAATTTTTTATTGTTTTTATATTTTTCAATATATTTATTTTGTTTGTACAAAATAAAAAAATAATTTTTAACGATACAATAGTCTTCGTTAGGCTTAACATCGATGAAAATTCAAAGCAAAGCGACACGCAACGGAGAAAACTTTCAACATGGGATAAATTAATATATTGTTTCATACATAATTGGTTATCCGAAAAATAAGTTATCCAAACAACCCCAGTCCCCAATTGATTCGGATAAACGACGCTCTACTGTATAAAATTAATATTGTTGAGTTTAAAATTTTATAAAGTTCTACTGATAGACTCAATCATCTGTTGTGAAAAATTAATACGTTCACTAATAAAATAGTGAAACTTGAAATATAATTTGTAACTAGTGATTTGATTCATTTTCATTTGAATATTAAGTTTTATAAGAGTTAAAAATTTATTGAAAATCTTATTTCAACATTAAGACGCTAAACTTTAAAAATGCAGTATGTTTGAAAGAAAAAAAAATATGATAAAAACCGATAAAAAGTACTTTTACCTATCAAAAGATTTTGGATGAATATAAATGAAAATAATTTTTTGAAATTATATATATTTTTACATGTTTAAATCTGAGAAAAAGCATAACAAAATGTTAAGTTCCCTTTATTCTTTAGTAGTATCTTAGTTTAGATAAATTTTATGAAAAAATTAGGAATCTTTGAAAACCAAAAACAAATTCCTGAAAAAATAATGAGGTAAATAAGAATAGAATTAATATAAAGTATAAATCTTCACACAGATAGGGGGAGGTAATTCCAAATAAAAACACTTGGTTTTTCCCTTGAAGTAAAAAAACTATTAATTTTTTTGAAACAGTTAAAACAAATCTGAAGATGGATCCAAAACACCTCTCTTTTCTTAACCAGAAACTTTCAAAACCTCATTTTTTTTTAAATGTTTAAATTAACATCTTTAGTTCAAAATAATAAAGCTGTTTACATTATATATTTAGTATAAAAATAAAACTTATAACAAAGACTGAAAATTTGATATTTTGGAAGGTAGTCCAAATGTAACATCACATTTAACATGAGAAGCATATCACAAATATCAATTAGAAACAAAGATCTGTACAGTACAAATCACATTTTGTGCAATTGCTATTCATTCCTTTTTTTTTTTTTATTGCTTTCTAAAAATTTTGTTTTCGGCCATTAACAGTAAACTCCACTTATTGTAATCATAGATATTAACTTCAATTATATAAAAGAATCTTTAGCCTGTCTCAAAACGTAAGTTAAAATTTATTTTTAAAACTTCTCTTATTGTGACCAGAGTTCAGTT